GCCGGGACGGAACGGTATTGTTTCGTCTATGCGCCGATCCAAGAGATCCGCGCGGACCTCCGAAACTTGTTGTTGACGTAGTTGTTCTCTTAACATGACAATTCCCCAGACAATGTTTGCACTTTGGGGTTCTTACGTGCTTTCCGAGGAACTGGGCCTGCAGGCCGCTCTGGCCACCATGTGGCCGCTGTCGCCGTTGCATCGTGTGGCATTTCTTCGCATGGCTTTTCGTTGCATTGCTTTGAATGGCTCTGCATTGCCTCAAGCTCATGGCGAGATCGATGTTGTCTTGATCCCTGCTGTAGGCTACGCTCGGCGAGAAGCCACTCCCGGACGCGTCAGAACCTCAGCACGCACAGGAGTCCCGAGCCCACAGTTTACGGAGCACAAGAGGCGCGACCCCAAGTGGATCCGCTCCCACACGCCCCATGCGCCAAGTTCCCTTGGACACGAGACGCGTCAAAATGTTCCGGAGCAGCTTCTCTGGAACGTTCTGCGTACAGACTGCTGAAATATTTGAGTTTCAACCCTGCGTGAACGTGGCTGCTGAGAGGGGCAGTAACCATTGCCCCGAAAGCTTCAACCCTCCAGGAAAGTGGCTCCAGCTGGTTTGAATTCGAGTGCGTCCTGTCTGCCAGCGATTTACCCCGTCTCCCCTACAGCGGCCGCGCAGCCTCCGGCCCACCAGCCAGGATGTGCCTGCACGGGAACCTTCACCAATGCAAGTTGCCGAGTGTCTGATGTCCACTTGCCTGGGCCCCGGCATTTGGGTCACGAAAAGGAGCATCCATTGCATCCACAAATTGAGCATACAACTCGCGGTTCGCCAGTGCCGTCGCCAGCCCCATGGCGACCAGATTGCGAAGCTTGTGCCACCGCAGGACAGACTAGGAATGTGAGTAATGAGTAGTTGTGTACACTAATACCGGATAGTATACCCAGACCAAACACGGCCATTGCCAGTCTGCCAACCTACGTACCTAGAGGCGCTTCCGATGCCCCCGGAAAGTGGAAACTATCAGCTGGCATGAACTCAGCTACGCTCGATCACGATCTGCCCAGCAGAGCCCCGTACAAAAGCTTGTGCCGCCCCTCGTTATCTCAGTTAATACGCTCCTCTCCGCACCCTCGGCTGACCGCCTTTGCTGCTATTCCATATGCACTGATTGACCATCTGCAGCCATACTGATTCGAGAGATTAAGGATAAAGGAGCGTGCTGCCGCACGCGCGCGCCGAGGCGCGTCTCCCTCATCGTCGTCGTGTCGTCGGCCGGCCGGCCTCCTCCCTACCGCACATCTCTATTATCCGCTTAAAGGAATCTACCTTCCGAACCATCGCCTTGTTGAGGTCCCCATGAGGAGACCATATCGGAACATATTGCAGGGATATGTAATATCCAGGCCAAAAGCTGGTCATCAGCCTAAACGACGGCTCAGCCGTTGGCTTCGCTAGGCCAAGGACAGGCGGAAGGATCGTTCGGACGACTGCTTCAACCTGATTGTCCCGAGCGAGTTCCCAAGGACGGCGCCCCTGGGGGGCGACCCCTCCTCTCAACCTTCCCAAACGGTCAGTGTTGGAGTCGGTATCTGATTCGATTGAGGGAGATTCCCCTGCGGGGAAGCAGCTAGAAGAAAGAGCTCAGACGCCAGGCAGGGAGCCCGGCTTAGCCAGAACTGCCCTCAGCAGGTCATCAGGATTCGTCTCAGTGTATTCGAGTCCGAGAATCTCGGTCCATTCAAGCCATGTTGAGGAAGGTACGCCGGGTCATGGTCTCGCCGGCTCTGTCGGTGGGGGCCACCTTCTTGACAGGCAAGCACAGTTCGCGATGAACGGGCAAAACGGAGACGAGAGCGACGGGCAGTCAGGGGGAGAAAGATTGAACTCAGTAGAAAAGATGAGGAACACGCTAACTTTCACATGTCCCCTGGGCCCTCAAATCGACCGCTCCCTCTCCAGAGTCTGCCCGGTTGCCGCGTCTCAGACGGCGGTGGATCGGGGGCAGAAGCGATCGATTATGAACCGGCAGAAGCGTTCCGAAGAGCCGCGCTTGACTTTGGCGACTAGGCTGTGGGGGCTGTCTTCGACGGTTCTCCCGCCCCCAACGTCGGCGCTGCACCCCTCGCGTGGGGGCCCCATCAGGCGGGCGGCTCAGCCGTGCCGGCCGGGGAGGGCCAAGAACCCCAGGGTGAAGAATTGGCTGGCGATATGAGTGCCTCCAGGGGCGGCCCTCCAGCACTGGCGGAGAGGGGGGCCCCAGCTCAGCCGACGGTGCTCTCGTCCGACGCCTCGCGTTCTGCGCGACGTGCGAGAGAGCCAACTAGAGCAACTCCGCTGCTGAAGATGAAGAAGCCCAGAAGGGACGCGGATGATCTTAACCCCCCGCCTCTGAGGGGGGGATCCTATCGCCAGGGCATCAGAACAGCAGTCGGGCCACCGGCGGAAATCCCCGAGTCTCCGAGGGAGGGCCCTGACAGGGCGCCAGATCTCCATGGGCTAATCATGCGCGAGGAGCAGGACGAGGAAGAAGGCAGATTGCTGAGATCGCACCAAAACACAGCGTCAAGGGCAATGGAGCAGAGAACCCCGACATCGAGTCGAGGTCGGGAGAAGGCCCCGAGAGCAGGACGTTCTAGCTCGAGTAGATTTGACGCCATTGCGTCTGCGCGCCACCATCGAGTCGGACCGTGAGTAGCTTTTCGATTCGGGAGACTTGCTGGAACGCGGGCTCGGGTTGCCCGCCGCAGGCTGAGCGCCGGTGCCCGGGTGAAGCACGCGAGCTGGGAGGTCCTCGCGGTCGCCCCGCGCGTGCTCGGTGCTCTCGAGTATGCTTTCAATGTAGCGCCTCGCGGCTCTGCCAGGACTGCGTCGTGTTAGGAGAGCATGACTGCCGATGCATCGCCATCGGAGAATGGGAAGAGAAACAGCAACTAGAAAAAGAGCAGCTGCGGACAGCAAGTGCCCAATTGCAGCAGACCATCCGTCGGGCGCAAATCAGCGAGAGGGCCGTTGACGACGCCGACCGCCGGCTCGCTGAATCCGAAGCAGAAAGCTTGGCGTCGCCCGCAGAAGTGGGGCCGAAAAGGAAGCAATCGCGCATGGGGCCGAGCGAGAGATGGCCGCCATGGCAGAAGATGCCCAGAGACGCATAAGTCACGCGGAAATTGGAGCGGCCGAGCTCGCGAGCGCTGCTCAGCGGCGATTCGCGCAGGAGGAACAGGGCGAGCGGAGGATTCAAGGAGCGGCTGAACAGATGGTGCCATCATCGCAACGCCAGGCGGAGGAAGAGCGCATCGAGGCTCAAAACGCCAGGGGCGCTGCCAGACGGGAAGGGGAGAGAGTAGCCCGAGAACAGGCCGCACGAGAAACTTAGGAGCTCCGTGCTCAGCGCGACGCTGATGGGCTCGAGGCAGGAAACCTAATGCGAGAGGCGGCGCGGGCCTCCATGAGTAGGACGAGAAGGCCGCGGCGCTGATAGGGGGCGACCACAGGTGAATGGCAGAGGCCCGGGGCCATGCCGAAGGGCGCGCAGACGAGCAGAGCAAGAAAGATGCGTCCCCTAGTCGTGCCGTCAGATAGAAAGCTCAAATCTGCCTTAGAGCAACGCAAGAGGGCCAGGGTTATGATAGTAATGTCCCCCTAAGGAAGACATTACTAGATATTTCCAAAAGTATTTGAAACGTGGTTTTGACTTCACGAAAATAAATGGCGGTTTCAATGGTCAACGATTTTTCGGAAACTGGTCTCGAGATTTCGCCTTCGAAAGCGGGGAGCTGAGGCAGGCGCGACGCGAGGAGCAGCGGTCTCGATCAGAAGCCGCACGCGCCTGTCCGCTAAGGAACACAGGCTGGATCACGAGTGGATGGCGGCTCCTTTTCGAAACCTGGGATGCGCGACCGACTCGGCCAAGAGCGGCCGCTCAATTCCCAAAAGCCCAAAAAGCAGAAGCCCCAAGAGCGCTCCAATGGCCCCTCGGGCCGAAGCCCAGCAGGCGAGCAGGCGGAAGTGGCGAAGCCATCGCGAATAGAAAAGTGGCAGCGGAATCAAACGCGGCCAAACAACTCTCGAGAACAAACGCGCCAGGCGAAGCCTGCTTGAATATGGACGTGGGCGACATGCAGAAAAGGGGGATTGCCAAGGCAGACCCCCGCCTCCTCCCCCTCCTCCTCCTCCTCTTCCTCCTGCTCCTCCTCCTCCTCCTCCTCCCCAGTTCGGCCAAGTCGTCCTTGCCCTCCTCCCCCCCTCTCTCTCTCTCTCTCTCTCTCTCTCTCTCTCTCCTCTATCTCCGCTCTTCGCTCTCCTCTCTATCTCTCTCTCTCCTCTCTATCTCCTTTTTCTCCTCTCTCTCTCTCTACTCCTCCTCTCTCCCTCACTCATCTCTCTCCTCTCTCTCCTCTCTCTATCTTCTACCTCTCTCTTTCTCTCTCTCTCTCCTCTCTCTCTCTCGCTCTCTCTCTCTCTCTCCTCTCCCTCCCTATCTACTCTCTCTCTCCTTCGCTCTCTCTCCCGCTCGTCTCTCTCTCCTCATAATAAATAATAGAGATTAGTATATATAGTTTCTCTTTATCTCTCTCTCTCTCTCTTTTCTCTTCTCTTTCTCTTTCTCTTCTTGTTTCTGTTCTGCCTTTCTTTCTCTTGATCTTTCTCTTTCTCCTTTGCTTTCTCTTTTCTTCTTTCTCTTTCTCTCTCTCTCCTCTCTCCCTCTCTCTTCTCTCTACCTTTCCCACTCTCTCAACCCCGCCCCGTCCTCCTCACCTCCTACCGTGCCCTCCTCCTCCTCCTCCTTCTCCTCCCTCTCCTCCCCCCCTCTTGTCCTTGAGGTCCTGTTCTCCTCCTTCTACTCCCCCCTCTACTCCTCCCTCTACTCCTTCTCGCCATCTTCGCTCCTCGACCGTCGGAGGAGCGATCTTCCTCCAAAATGGATGCCCTCGGCAGCCTCCTCGACGGCGCGCGCCCTGCGGCGGTTCGCCGCCGCGCCGTCGGTCGCCATTCAGGCGAGAACCTGCTCCATCTTCTTGAAGAGGATCGGGTGGATGACGTCCACGGGGCCCAGCACCTCGAGCACCCTCTTGAGCTGCGTCTCCGCCTTGCGGGCCATGTTGAAGAGGAGGGTCGCGTCGTGGATGGTGTCGAAGCCCTTGAGGAGCGAGCCAGTCACCTCGAGGCCCCTAGCCACGTCCACCGTCTTGCGGATCCCGTCCTGGAGCTCCTTGGGAGGCGGCGCGAGGCCGACCGCCTCGACCTTCGCCAAGTAGAGCCCCAGGTCCTGCTGGAATGGCGGGGGGGGAACCGACGGCCAGGGCACTGAGGACCACCCCCAGGGGGGGGGAGGTGGAGGAGGAGGAGGAGCAGAAGGAGGAGGAGGAGTAGGAAGAAGGAGCCCATGACAAGGAGAAGGAGTAAGGACTAACTGAGGAGAACAGCGGAGGAGGAGGAGAGGAGGAGGAGGAGGAGGAGGAGGAGGAGGAGGAGGAGGAGGAGGAGGAGGGGAGGAGGAGAGGAGGGGGAGGAGGAGGAGGAGAGGAAGGATGAGGAGGGGGAGGAGGAGGAGGGGGAGGAGAGGAGGAGACGGGGGGTTGAGGAGGGAAGAGGAAGGGGAGGATGAGGAAGACCAGGGGGAGGCGGAAGGGAAGCGGGGGAGGGGGGCATTACGATGGCATGCCCCCCGACCCCCGTGCTCAGTTCACCCCCTCCTCCCCCTGTCCTTCTCGACGTCCGCAGGCGGGGCGAGGACGTTGTCGATGTTGAAGTTCTCGTTGTTGAGCAGCGCGGAGATGCCGCGGGGCACGAGCGCCCGCGTCCCGCGGCCCTTGAAGCCGAAGTACCACGATTTCCCGTTCGCGCCGCCATGCGCGACCTTCTCCAAATCCTCATGCTTGCTCTTCAGGGGTGCCGATGCCGTGATGCCGATCGCCTCCGCCACCATCTTGATGTCCTTCGCCCTCTGCTCGGCGCTCCGCTGACTCTGGAGCCAGGTCTCCAGCTTGGAGGCCGCAAGCACATTGATGGTCCCGCTGATCTCTTTGATCGCCGTGATCCTACTCTGGGCATCCTGGATGTGCGTGAATACGTTCCCGTGCTTGGCGATCTCCATCGCCGTCGAGCCCAGCTGCTTCACCGCCGCACTCGCGTCCAGCAGGTGGCGGACCTCCGTGATGTACTGGACGATCTTCTTTGCCATCCTCCCGTCCGTCGTCTTGAGAACGCTTGCCACCACCTGCAAGGCCGCCTCGTCCTGTGCCCACTTCCTGCCGCCTGTCACGCGGTCATCGTGGATGAAGTTGGCCCAGATCCAGAACATATTGTTGAGCTGCAACTCCAGCTCCGTGTCAGCGCTCGCCCTGCCGTACGCCTTCAAGTTCTTGACGAAGTCCGCGGAATTGGCTGGGTCGGCTTCCTTGTCCGCCTCGATCGTCGTGAGAATGATCCCCATGCTGGCCTTCACCGCAGACTTCATGACGACGATGTTCTCAACCGCCAGCTTCCGATCCAGTATGGCTGCGTGCCCAGTGATGTCATCGTCCATGGGCAATAGCTGCTTGGTGGCGGCGATGAGGGACTGCAAAGCCTTGACGCGGTCAATCGGGATGTTCGCATCGGTCTTCAAACCGATGATGGCGTTGTATGTCAACGTAACGGCCTGCTTGGCCTTGTCGTCGAACTCGTCGAGGGACTTCAGGCGGAACGAAGCCGAGTGTCATGCAAGTAGGTCCTTGATGACGGCGCCCAGGCGATTCGCCGTGGCAATGATGTCCTCTGGTAGAAGCAAGTCTTGGCGGAGCTCATCGTCCAGAAACTGATCCAACCACTCACCCTGATCCTTGATCGACTTGCAGTGCTTCTCCCATGCTGGCACGGCTGCCTTCAGCATCTCGATGGACCTCATGTGGTGCGGGGCGTTCTTCAAACCATTCCAGATCAGCGAGCTGATGCCATCGGACGTCTGACCCGCCACCCCCTCGATCGAGTTGAGAACCTCAATCTTCGCCTGCAAGTCGTCGACATCGCTGCTCGAGTCCGAGAGGGCCAGGATTGTCTTCATGCACTGTCTGATCTCAATAGACTCTGTCTCGTGATGTCCCGTGGATGCCTGGTGGCGCAGCTCGGCGTTCACTTGCTTGAGGACCACGCTTGCCAGTAGAGACAAGGCCTCGGACGCTTCAAGATCGTTGCAGATCCACGTGCAGAACACCTCCTGGAGCAAGAACTCGTAGAAAAACGTGTACTTCTCGTGGGGCGTAGACGACCCGTTCAGCAGCGAAGGCGACAGCGGGTCGAAGTCTTCGGAGAGAACCTCGCCGCCCGCGTTGAAGCACATCGCCTGGGCCACGAACGAGGTCACCTGGGCCTCCGTGATGCTGCTGAAGCTGGCCCCGAAGGTCTTCACATCCTTCCTGAGCCTGCGGCGCACCATGAACTGCATCTGGGTGAACGGGTACTTCACGTTGGCCTTCTTGAGCGTCTCGTGGTGGGCCCGCTCCGTTGCCTCGTCGATCTGGTCTACGGCAGACGACTTCACCTTATGAGCGATCTCGACCAACTTCATGTGGGAGCTCAAGATGGACCTCGCCCCCGCAAACTCGCGCTGGCCAGCGAGAGCACCCACGCAGTCGTTGCCTTCCGAGAGCTCCTTGCCCATCGACTTATTCGCAAGGATGGCCGTCAAGTCGTTCTTCTGGACCCAGTAGAAGCACTTCTCTCGCTTGTCAGTGGGGCAACTGGAGTAGACCTTGCCAGCGCCAGCGGCCGAGGCACTCTCCAAGTCCTGGGTGCCAGCGCGCTTGGGCCCGCCGCTGCCAGAGACCACCGTCTTGCCATCGGCGGGGGAACCAGCTGGAAGTTTAGCGCGACGCTCCCCTGCCAGCGTTGCCACGGCATCGAACGACGCCTTCTGGACCGAGAAGCCGACGGGCGGGAACTGCTCCGCTGCTGAGGCCGACGGCTGCGAAGGAGCAGATGTCGCCTTGCCCTTCTTCTTGGGGCCAGCGACTGTCACGGAGCTCCTTGCGCCGCCAGCAATCGTGCTAGCTCCGTCGTCTGCATGCCCATCGCCATCCTCGCCATGCTCGGCAGCAGGATCCGATGCACGCCGCGCGTCCTTCCTGGTGAGGTCATTCTCATCATGCACATCCAAAGACCCTCTCTTCCGCATGGCGTCCTGCTTGCCCTTGAGAGCGCTGGTCCTCGCCCCAGATGCAAGAAGGTTCGACTGCGCGAGGCCCTGACAACGCTGGTTGTTCCACATCTGGAATGTGAGGAACCCATGGGATGGCAACGTCGGTCTGCTATCGGCGTGGACCACGTGGAGGCGGGTAGCTGACCCCAAGGATACCTTCACCCGCCGATAGCCAGCCGCGAGGGTCGATGGCAAGTCGCCAATCACCGCGTAGCACTCCTCAGGCTGCCCTGAGACTGTCCAGCCCTTGAACGGTGCCACGTTGAACTGTGAGATCCTGCGCCTGGCCAGGTAGGCCAGCTCTGACGCGTTCACGCACAGGCACTCCACCTAGATCTCTGTCGTAGCAGTCGCGCCACTGATCACCACCTGGCTTGGGGCAGCTTCATCGTCAGGTAGATCACGACTGGCCTTCCACGCGGCCTTGAGAACTGAAGACTGCGTGAACGCCGACGCGGCCGCGTCGACGCTGCGGAAGATCCTCCGTTTGGCAACCTCTGTCACGCAAGGCTCGCACAGAGGGCCATTCTGGCCGTTCGCGGCCTTGCCGACCTTCACCTCCTACATTGGGGAGTTCGGGCACAAAAAACTCATCCCCTACTTCTTTTCATCCTTCTCCCTTCTCCTCCTCCTAGTCGGCAAATGCCTCAGCCAACCCTGGATGGCCCCATGTCGTTGGCGACCTCCTGGCCCTGTCGCCCCTCAGCTGGCACGATCGGGAGGGCGCGCGCGCGCCCCGACCGACCGACCGAGGGGCGAAAGGAACGGGAGGTGCCAACGGCCACACTAAGGATTGAAGTTTCGGGGGCGCCACGTCTTTACCCACAGGGCGAGGGTTGCAACAAACTCAGGCCTAACGCATCTAGTGGATAGAGCGGCGGGGGGGCACAGTGGGAGGACATCGGAAGCGAAACCCATAAATTTGGCAACCATTTGGGGCCCAGGGCCCGTGCTGAGAGCGTCGCAGCCGACGCGCACGCTTGCCGAGCCCTGGGCCGCCGGGCTGGCGGACGCGGAGGTTGCGCCGTGAGCCGCCAAGCTGGCCGCCGTCAGCGCCATGACGCACCCGAGGGCGCGCACTGGAAACATGAAATGGAGTGGCGCCGAAACGGCGCTGTCGTCTCTGAAACGAATGAATCGCTTCGGTCCGAAACGCCAGCCAGCGAAGGCGACAGTTCAGGCACGGCTTGCGGGCTGGGCCGCGCACGGGAGGTCCAACTCAAATGAGAGGCACCAGGGCCATCGTTTTCAAGGGGAGCGCGTTGGAGCGCTCAGGGCCCACGAGAGCCCGAACCTGGAAGGTCGGCCACCCCACAGCCAGGAAGAAAACAACAACAGCAAACCTTTGGAAACGCCCCCAATAGATATGCTTTTGGTCCTCGAGGGTCAGCCCCGCAAGGGCTGGGAGGCACGCGGCCACCACTACCCCGCAGCCAACGCAGGCCGCTGGTTGAAACCTTGCGCGCTTCAAAAAAAACACCAAAAACTAAACCAACATCGTAACAGCTCCCCTGTCCTCTGAGACGCACAGACCCGCCTTCCTTCCTACAACCGCCCTGTCCTCCCCCACTCACTGCAACGGCAGACAATACGGAGAGAGACTACGAATACGGGGGGCTATGACATGTAGTAAACCATGCGGGCGGTGCGACATACAATACGGAGGGAGCCACGTACTGGTGTTGAAATACATTACACTGCACACGTGCACGTAAGTGCATAACATCGGCATGTGCGTGCTCAATAAGTGTATGTCCATAGTATACAATACGGTACACTGTGCAGTGTACATGCAAACCAAAATGAGCACGCGCACGTTACACCTGCGCGTAAGACGCATGCCAACACGCACGACCGTTGCGCAATCACTCGAGGGAACTACGTCGGGAAACCCACGCGGCCGTCCTCCTCCCCCCCATGCACGACTTGCGCAAAGTGATAACAACGAAAGCCTGACAAAAAGCAAAACGACTACACTTGGGCAACAACTGGCCGCAATGGTTTTCCATGAACTGCAAGCGCTGCTTACAAGTGGGAGTGCGCGAGCCGTTCCAAGATGAAACGTTGTCACCGAACGCGCGCGCGAACACAAACCACAATTGCACGCGCTGCCATTCGCGCGTGATTGCACGACCGCGACATAACGCCAGCAATGTGTGACACCCGCCGCGCTCATCATTAAACTCGCGCGTGTGAAAATGAAGATGATGGCGCGCTTGGCTTTGGACGCCTTCTATCGGAGGGCAAACGCGTCGCTGACGAAGGAGAAACAAAAACGCACGGGGCGCGCGAAAGTGCGCCAGAGGGGAAAAACAGGAATGAGCCATGTAGAATGGAAAGGGGCGGGTTGCAAGGAGAGAACGGCAGGCTGTTTGACAAAGACAGTGGGCGGTGCAACCTCTGGAATTCGCGCCGATGGAAATGCGCGCGCGCTGCCAAATCGCGTTGCGCGCCCTGCTACAGCCGCCGACGGGCGCGCGATGCACTGCCTTCGCGGGAACGCTCGCGCGAGGGGGCGGATGAGGAAGAAGAGGAGGAGGTGGTGACGCAAAGCAACGCTCGGGCGTGGTCGATCGGGTGGCGCACCGACGCTTAAAGGCGCACGCACGCCAGCAATCGCGATACGTCACGCAGGGGGGGGGGGGCTCTCGGCGGAGCAGCGGGCATGCGCGGCGGAGCCATGGCCCACGTAGCGGCCCGCGGGAGCTTGGACGCGACCAAGGCGCGAGCACGCACAACGACGCAAGGAACATGGGCCCACCCATGTCAACGCCTGGAGGGGGCAAATGTTCCCATGGACGTTCAATGCGCGTGACTCTGCAAGCCCCCCCCCCCCCCCCCCCCCCCCCCCACCCCCCCCCCCCCCCCCACCCCCCCCCCCCCCCCCCCCCCCTCCTCCCAGCAAGATATGCAACGCCGCGCGTGGCTGACCCGAGCCACTACGACATTTTCCTGCAGCAGCCTTGCACTCCTTGCCACTCGCCAACGGCGGCGCTGCCGTCCCGACGAGCTTGCGCAACGCCATCAGTCGGGCTCTCTCGCAGCTGCGCCACGTGGCCGCAAACCTGCCCCAGCTGAGGCGCCCCTGCCGCACCATGGCGGCGAGGGCTTGGACGCGGCAACCTGGTGCGCCCAGCACGCCCGCCCTCGCGCGTGCAGCGGCGCGGCTGTCCTCGCATGGGAGAACTGCGGCACCGCCAGCTGGCCCGACGCCAAAGCGCTGACACATCCAACGCCTACCGCGATAGGCCCACCCACCCCATCCCCCAAACGCGGCGCGAACGCGCTGCCAATCTTCCCATGCGTCGGAGTAGGGCAGCGGCCTTTGTTGCGCAAGCGGCTGCGACTCTGGGCGGCGCGCAGCGGCGGCGGTCAGCGCCCAATTTCGCGGCGCCTCCTCGGCAACGCTTAACAAAACGCGGAGCGGGCGACCGCTGGCGGACCGCCCAGTGCGTCGGCGGAAGGGCAGAATGCGGCCGCCATCGATGTCGCTTCCGCCCTCCCCTTCTCACTGTCCTCCACTGCGCAGTGCTCGTCCGTGGTGGTCTTCTTCTTGTGCGAGCCAGAACTTCTGCTTCAACCAGACGTTCAAGTCCGTCTCATCAGGGTTGGCCCCGAGTACGGCGCAGTGGGGCCCTCGAAGTTCGAAGTGAGAACCCCGCGCCAATGGGCCCCGCCAGCCTTGGCTGCGCGCCGAGCCGCGGCGCGACAACAACCTGCCGATTGTTCGCAAGCAGCGCCACCGAAAGGGAGCAGGGGCGAGGAGGAAGGGGGGGGAGGGGGGGGGGGGATGAGGAGGAGGAGGAGGAGGAGGACCCCGCCCGATGCACGCCCAATTAAAAGGCCACCCGAAGCCCCCCCTGTTCGGCGTCCGCTGCGTCGCTGGGCAGCCGCCCGCCAACGCGTTCGGCTGCGGTCCGACTGCGACCGTCGCCGTCTTGGGTCGCGCGATTGACAGACGCGGGAGAGCCACCCTCCACCGAACGGAGCGCGGCCCGCGCCCGCGCCGACGTCATGGCGCCCGCGATTCGGTCAAGCCGCGCTGGCGCGGCGGCGAACAGGAAGGGGGAATGTCGCGGCGCCACGGAGGTAGGCTGCAGACCATGAGTGCGGCCGACGCAGCCGCAAATGCCATGGGCCACAGAAATCGCCGAGGGGGCTGCGAGAATTATGCGAAACCGTGGGCGCGCGAACAGGAAAGGCAAGGGGCTTTCGTTGCGCGGCCGTGAGGAAAAACTCAGCAAACCGGCGCGGTGGTTCGCGCTCTTCCGCCCATCTCCCGCCCGTCCCACCCCCATCCATCCCCCCATTCCCTATGGCGCAACGCCATCCCCCATGCCCCCCTCTCTCCATCTCACCCTCCTCCTCCATGTTCTCCCCCCAAGTTGCGTGTCGCCATCCCCCTATCCCGCCTCCTCCTCCTCCTAATCCCCCCTTCCCCCCGCCGCCGCCGCCGCCACCATCCCCCGTTCTCCCTCCCCCATCCATCATTTGCATCGTTCCCTCCCAATTCCTCAACCGCCCTCCACAGGCTACGCGGGCGCCGCCGCCGCGGGGTGGCCATTCGGGGACGCTATTCTGGAACGAAACATCGCGCTGCGCCGCTGAACATGGCAACGCAAACGTAACGGGCCACCGCCGCTCGGGAAACAGCGGCCTCTTTGCTACAGAAGATGCCCCTGTCGCTCTGCAAGCGCCCCAGGCCTACAGTGCCGAGTCCAGGCCGCCGCCGCCTGCTGCGTGGACCCTGGGCGACATGGGGCACTGCCTCATGCGTTCCCCGAACGGTTGCCATTGGCGGCTGCCGCGCTCGGAGACAAAGTGAACGATCGGGCTGGGGCGGCCGTCGGGGCCCGCCGCCACAGGGGTGGGGGGTGGGGGGGTGGGTGGGGGGGAAGATCGCGGAGGCGCCCGTCGAATTGCGGCGTCGGCTGTTTTCTGGCAAGCAACCTTGCGCCGCCTCGGCTTCGCCAGATGCAAACCGAATAACCGACCCGCGCGCGGTTATCTTGCCGCGCGCGTTGCTGTCTTCGCGCCCGCGCTGCCCCGCGCGACGCCGCGCCGCTCTGCGACCTCCTGGAACGCTTGCGACATCTTCCGACGCGCAAGCAGCCTCCGCAGCTTCGCGCGCGGCTGGCAACTGCTGCGCCCCATGAATGACGGTGCTGCTGTGGAATGACTGTGAAACGCCGAACACAGCGCCCTTGCGGGCAACCCTCGGGAATCCCGACGTTGCCTGATCCCACCGCGAAGGCGAGGCGGCGCCAGCGGCGGCCGACCGTCGACGCCCGCTGCGCCTAGCATCGAACTTCAACTGGCAGCGGCGCAAAAGAATGGCGGCACGCGGGAAAAGGGACGTGGGGATGGGCGAATGCGAACTAGGGTAGGAAACTGGCACTGAAGAGCAGCTGCGGCAGTGGCAAAGGAAGCGAGGGCGGCGTGGCTGCGCGGTGCCCCCAGAGCAAGCGTGGCGCGCCCCCCCAGAAACGCTAGGACACCTCGGCACGGCCCCAATCGCTTTCCCCGCCAACAACGCCCCTCTTCCCCCGCCTCCAACCGCCTGGAAGAGATCTCGCAGCGGCAGCTAGGGGCGTGGCCGAACGTGGCAGAAATTCGCTCAGGGGACCCGAACTGGATGGTCGAGGGAGGTAGTCCTTCGTGCCCAGGCCCCCAAGAGACTGGTCGAGGAGGGCAGTCCTTCCGCAATGGTCATCCGAAGAACTGCTCGGGCGGGGCAGTCCTTCCGCAACGCCCGCCGAACCAGGTGGTCGGGGAATGGAAACCCGACCAGTTTTTGACCACCTGGAAGCGCGCCATCTGGGCGGCTGAAAAGTGTAAAAATTCCGGTGTCAGGTTGGTCGGGGGGCGCGAATTTTCGCGCCGCGTGGAATGGTGGTTTGGATGGTCGGACGTGTTAGAAATTCCGGAACCCCAACTTCCAGACTGGTGGTTTGGATGGTCTGGTTCCGCAACGCCATTCGGAGAGATGGTCGGGTGGTGCAGTTCTTCGTGCGGGTGTGTCAAAACGAATGGTCGGCTGGGTGGTCGCCCTCGGCGGC